TCAGCACAAGAATTAGCTATTTTTTCTGTTACCCTGTCAAGCGCCTGCAGGGCTTGTTTATTCAGTGTGCGAGGAGAGTTTAAAGCTGGATCTTCCTTTAATAACTGAAACAAGCCTTATAATTCTTGTGTTGAGATACCCAACAGCGGCCAAAGCCAATTTATTGTTCCCAATAGTTTTGCAACCCATGTAAGGTACGAACGGATACTGCCAAATGCAAAATCTGCAGATATACTGCTTCTTCATATAGTTTCCAACTGAGATATTTCCAGGGCGCCTCTTCCTGGATTTTCTCAGGAGCAATTCGTAGCCCAAATTCACGTAAAGACTGTTTCAAGTGTGTTAGAGAGGTCATAAGTTGCATTTTATCTTCAGCTGCAACTAAAATATCATACATATAGTGATAGATTATAATCTCAGGGAAATGTTTCCTAATGGGCAACAAAGCACCATCAACAACAATTTGACAGATAGTAGGACTCTTCATCATCCCCTGGGGCAAGACCACCCAGTGATATCAGAACCTGATTATTAATTTCTGGCAAGGAAAAAGCAAAACGTGGACAATCATCCGGGTGTAATAGGATCGTGAAAAAACAATCTTTAAGATCAATTGCATATAGAGGCCACTCGGCAGGAATTAAAGATGGGTTGGGGGTTCCAGGTTGTAAAGCCCCCATGGGTTGCATAACAACATTCACCGCTCTAAGATCTTGTAAAAGGCATCATTTCCCAGATTTTTTTGGTGTAACAAAAATAGGAGTGTTCCATGGACTAGTGGAACACACTATATGCCCAAAAGCCGATTGTTCTTGGACTAGTTCATGTGCTTTCTGTAATTTCTCCCCTTTTAAGGGCCACTGGTCAACCCAAACTGGCGTTGATGTCAGTTTGAGTTGGGGTTGCACATCAGTTGTTGTGGCCAAGTCCAGCCCGGCACTGCCGGAGGTGCTGGCTGAAAGACCGCTGACTGTCCGCTTCCTGGATGACGCAGATTGTTTTGCATTGTCGATGACATAGAGCCCTGGACATGACAGACCCTGTTGTTGATTCGTGGGGCACCGGGCCTCGCACCCCTCTTCCTGTTCCCCTGAATAGGCTGCCCCTCCTTACTAAATTTAGATCTGCACTGATTGCTCCAATGATATCCTTTGCCGCACTGTGGACAAGGGGCTGAAGGTGAGCGTTTATTTTTTCCTGATTGGGTATTACCCTCGGGACAGTCCCTTTTAATGTGTCGCTCTTTTCCACACTGAAAACACTTGACTCCCACTTTGCCAGCTGTTAATTGCTGCGCTAATACTGTGGCTAACATAGTGGCTTTGTGCTCTTCAGAGCCAACATTTTGACATGCCTTAATTAAATCTGCAATGGTTTTTGCATTTGTGCGTATAGGGGTGCTAGCTTTCTGACAATCAGTGTTAGCATTTTTGAAAGCCAGATGAAATAACAAAACCTGAGCAGCTTCCTCATTTTCTACTTGTCTTGAAATGGCCATTTGTAAGTGGTCAATACAGGAAACATAAGGTTCTTGGGGTCCCTGTCTGATAGTAGCAAAAGACATTTCCCTATGCCCGACCTCTGGTACTTTCCACAAGGCTTTCATTGTTAAATCATAAACAATAAACAGAAGAACTGCTCTAGGCATGGCAACCTGTGCTTGAGGTGTAGCAAGAGCCCTAATAATTCATTTTCCCCTACGTTAATTTGAGCTGTCAAATTATCCATAACCTGTGCTGTTGTTAGTTCCATATATTCTGCCCACCAAACAGTATACTGTTCAGCGGTTAGTATGATGCGTAGCAATGCTTTCCAATCAGCGTTGCCATAACATGGCTATCTCCAATAGCTGCTATAAAATTCATAGTAAAATGACTCTGCAGACCATAATCTCGAACCGCCTTCCTCACTTTCTTAACCACCTCATAAGGCAACTGTGCATATTCTGGAGGACGATTCGCACGATAAATGACAGGCATAGCAGTTAGTAAAGTAACATCCCCATGCTTTAAAGCCTCTAGCCTACATTGATCTATCATCATGCTAGCTGCCGGAAAAGCCTGAGATTTCATGTTATTTCTTTCAGACAAATCAATCAATGGCATGTGCATCTGTTCCTCAGAGCTATAAGACGGGGGTAGTGGCGCGGTAGGTGTTAACAGCTTTTGGATAGTACCTTGACTACTTAATGATTGCCGTTTTTGAGATCGCAATTTTTCCTCTGCCATGGGTGCGGTAGCAACCATTGATTTAACAGGGGTCAGAGGGGGATATAAATCTGGGTTATCCTTAGGGTCAATAGTACCTGGATCAAAAGGGTCATTTGGTTCCTTCACCTCATCATCGGCTACTTCCTGAGGTCTGGGTTGATCAGAGAGAAAAGGAGGGGGAGCAGACTTTGCCTGTAACAAATCTTCCACAGACTCTAAAGCCTTTAGTGCAGTATAAACAGCTTTCCAAGTTACCATCAAGTCATCAGACACTGGGAATTGTAAATCCTTTTTAACTTGCAATTCCATGCCAGTTCCCGCCCACAGACCAGTATCATAGGTTCCGCTCTTGGAAAACCACGTACAATGATCCTGAATCCAAACTAAAAGCTTTACCAACTTTAAAGAAGATACTGCAAAACCTTGCTCCTTAAGAATTCGCTGCAATATTTCTGCATAAAGCTCATGTTCCCGTGAGGCTGATTGCCCCATATTACCGTGTCTACTTACCTCATCTGTTCAACGGAGGGTAATGCCAACTTCTTTAATTGTGTGTGCAGGTTGATTCTCCTTGTATAGACACGGAGCCGCCACCGGTCTATGTGCTGTGTAGCTATTCAAGCCTGACTCGGGCGCCATTTGTGGTGGATGAAAGCACGGACTCCAAAATGCCAACTTCTTTAATTGTGTGTGCAGATTGATCCTCCTCGTATAGACACGGAGCTGCCACCGGTCTGTGTGCTGTGTAGCTATTCAAGTCCGGCTCGGGTGCCATTTATGGTGGATGAAAGCACGGACTCCGAAAGCGAGTACAAAATCTGTTTATTCAGCCTCAGCGCAGTCTATTACTGCTTTACAACAGGAACCAGGACTAATCAGCCAGATAGGGAGTCCATGCACACAGCACATCAATCAAGCATTCTCTGATGTACACTGTTCCTGGTATTCTGGGATGTCAAGCTACACGCCAAGCACACAAGGGGCAGTGTTCTGCACTTGGTAACACCCACACACTGTGCTATGCATAACAGACCCTGAACTTTGGCTGGTGTCTGTTCCTTATTTCTGCAGACGGTGAAAATGAGTAGCAAGTTGTTTGGACGTGGGCCCATCCTTTGTCCGGGCCTCCACAAAAAGACGTGACACTGATTGCTAAATTAAAGGTCTCATCGCTAAATAAATTTAACTCATAATTAACAGCTTCCCTTGGAAATTCTCAGAAAATTAACTTTCAACTCAAAGAATAAATGCAGTAGTTTGGGGTATGATTTAGTGCATGCTTTATACATGATAAATAGGATGAATCACTGCAAAACTGAGTGCAGAACTATGCAGTTTGAACCAGAAAACTGTCATTTTCACTCTGATAATAAAAGCTATATCACATTATGTCCAGTCACAGCAGGCCAGAAGACTCCTGTGTGCACAGTTTAATAGCAATATACAAACCAGCTAGGAATTATCACTTGATTAATTGTATGTGTAAGGAACCAGACAGTGGAGTGTTGTGGTATGGGTAACACGGTCTTTTAGCTAAGCCTGAGCACATGAGCTACTCTTGTGCCCTTTTGTTTTCTAAAGAAGCTGGATAGACGACCTGACTCGTGGCGTAGCTTCACCTCCCAAGTCACCAGCAGTGTATTTGTACTTCCCTGAAGCATGAGAAGTGCAATGTAGGCTGAAGCACAATAGTATTCTTTCCCCTATGCTGTGAAGGAGTCATTATGGTACAATTTTGCTCAGTAACACTAGAAATGTAGACCTGTAATGTGTCTCTCTCTGCTTTATGTCTTTTAAGCCTCAACTTGCCTCCATCAAGTCCTATTGTACAGTCTCTGATCATGTCGCACTTCAAGACTGCAGAGAGAGGTGCTAGAAATCCCCAGGTAAACAGTCATGGAATAACCTGTTTCCACATTCCCTTTGTGCTGTCACTTAGTGTTTAGTTTATGCACTGGAGGGAAAACAAAAGTTTATGCCCTTCTTAAAAGAAGAACTATTGCTGTTTAAATACTCTTGTGATAGTTTTCATTATCCACAGAATGACTAATCCCTTTCTGAATGCTATTCGAGCTCTTGGCTTTTATCATCTAACTCACAAAGAGAGAAATGACATTATAATTATAATTCAGGGAAGCTGGCTCAGATAATGCAGTTCTATCAAGATCCTCAGGTTTAGCCAAGAAGGACACTATGAAAACTGAGAGCTAAGGAATAGTTTTCAAGGAAATGTAAAGGGTCTGCATTTTTGTATTTATATTTTTGTTTTTTACTCAAATTATAAAGCTGGACACGGTTCAAAAACTGTTACATCATTCTCAAAACTGGTATCTCTAATGCTCTTGTAGCTGATGGAAGTCTCAACAGCAACTTTTGTAGTAGGTACGTGAGTACGTGAGCATGAATATATAGTGCAACAAAAGTTTAACAGAGCAGTATACAAAACAAGAACAGTACAGGTTGTTAATTATCAAGGTAGTACTAATGTAGGAATAGGTAGGTCTTTGAAAAAACACACAAAAAAGGCTAGTATCTTGTAAAAAGCCTTGTACTTTTCTCTTATCTGTCCCTTTTTATGCTCTTCCACATGACTGTCTCTGTGACAACCAGAGAAATGCCCAGAGTATTACTTCACAGCAGCAAGAATGCACAAGAGCCCTATAATGAATTTAATTGCTGTTAAAAAAGAAACTCTTTACAGATTGTGCATAACAAGTTTGCATGAGGCTGTAGTTACCCCCTTTGCATTATTCTGCTACTACTAAGACAGAAGGACAAAGAAAGATGTCTTTAAGGTTCATAAAGCTGTGGTCGGAGTGGATCCCATAACCCTCGTGGTGGGGATTGCCCCTGGGACTCAGCCCTTCCTTCTCTGAAAATTACTCTATTGCTCAATGCTGATTGCTTTTCAGCCAGGTTTGCAGCTGGGTTACAGGGCTGCTTTGGTGTAGCTGGACTGAGCAAAGTGGCTCTAACTCTAAACCAGAGGTGAACCTGTAATTCAAAAGGAAAAAAGAAGTCTACACCACTTTTATGTTCATTTCACAGTTCATCGTGAGAAATCATTCTTATTTTTCTAGCTCCTAGAGTGCTAAGCTGAGAAAATGGGCCTTCAGTAATTTTCTTTTAATTGGGAGCCCAGCAGTACAAAGATGGCACAGGCTGGGGTATATTTTGAAATAGCCTGCTGCAGCTAGCGCTGTGGCAGTAATTGAGTCTAGGTGTGACTAAAGTACAGTCCATCTAATGGGAATAATAGGTGCCAAAGTCTGGCGTTCTTTCATAGGTGATAAAAGGATAATTTAACACATGCTATATTTAATTCTTTTTTTTCAGTGGGTAACACTGGATCGGGTTTTCAGTTCCTACTTTAGTTAACTATTATAGGACTCACCAATAACTTTGAGTCTTATTGCTGCCAACTTGTTTTTTCATAAGCTTTCTCCAACTTTGTTTTTCTATGACTTTCCTTAAGAAATTCTCAGTTATACGAGCAGATTTTTGGAAACTGTTGCTGACATTAACGTGAATTATACAGTTGCAGGTTACAGTTTGAAAATGTACTCCCTCGGTCAAAACTTACTTGTGCTCCTCAGCCCTTTTTAGTGGCATCTTCCCCCAGTTATCCTGTCAAAACACCACAGTTAAAATTGGAGGGCCCTTTCAGGAACCCTAACATCCACATCTATGCTATTTCAAATGTTCTGAGTAACCAAAACACCCTTCTGGGACTGGCAGATATGGACAAACTATGTGAGCCTTATTCTTTTGTGGAGAATCTAAAGAAGGGTCTAAAATGGCACTGGACACCTGTGTTTAGGCATCTAAATTGCTTCCTTGGTGTCTCTGTTTAGGGATCCTAACGAGGAATGCTGGAGGAGTTAAGTGTACGGTACTGCCATTGACTCCAGTAGGACTCATGGACTCTCAGTACTTCTCCAAGTCAAGCCATGAGGACTACAACCACAGACCACAGAAAGACTTGTGTGATGTATAGGTGCCTCAGTTGAATCTCACAGACCTCAATTCAATCTCACCTGCCCTCAGCTGTAGTACTGCCTGTGCTGCTTTGGTTCAGGAGGCAAGAAAGTGCTCAGTGTGGACTTGGGCTCGGTTGCCTTAGACTCTGTGTGCCCTGTTCACATAGCTCATGCCCACATCCCATCTGTGTGCATACAGGAACTCTCCCCCCTCCTTGTGTTTTTGGTAGGACTATCTCATGTATGTCTTTAGATGTTCTACGCTGGATCCTGCAGAAAACAGATTTTTATCCAGTGGCATTTTGGCAATGGGATAATCTCTCACTCTGCTTTCTAACAGCTCTGCAGTCTTCCCTGAGATACTAACCCCTGTATTCTGCTCCTTGGCCCAAACACTGGTTCCTTGGCAAGCCCTTACTGGTCTCTGCGTCTCTGTCTTCCCTTTGCTTTTGCCTCTGCAGTGCCCTCCAGCCACTACCATTTGCTGTTTGCTTCCCTGAAGCAGAGGCATAGTCTGTCTTCTTGGGAAGCATCTGCCAGTGGATCTCAGGAATATTTCTCTTCTCCCATGGGAACAGCTGGGATGAGTGTTTATCCAGTCCCACTCTTCTTGTAGCTCTGCTTTGTCCAGTAGCTCGTTGCTTAGCATAGACAACCCAGCTATGGCATAGGCAGGACCAACTCCACTCACTGCCTCACAGGCTTTGAGTCTCCCACCACCACCTCCCTGATACAGGGCTGCAGGGTTTTCTGAGATAGGACTTTTTGAATCTTTCCAGCTGAAACTGTTCCTCTTTGTGTGAACTAATTGCTCATTGACTACGAATGAATATTCATCCTGAAATAGGATGAAAGAAAGCAATCCAAGCATGACTTCAGCAGCTGCAGGACTCTACTGGGAAGAGAAGGTTCTTCTTCAATAAGTGATCATGGAGAGAATGTGTTTTATTTTGAGTATTCACGAGATTCTTATGATAAAGAATATATATAACATGGATGTTACAGGCTGATTCTGGCATGCTCTCTGGGCACCTTCAGTATCTTTTAAATATAGACTTTATGGATGTCATTTTGCTATAACAGAATCACAGCATCACGGAACAGTTGAGGTAGGAAGGGATGTCTGGAGATCGTCTCATCCAGCTGTGTTATGTGCCACTGAGGTACATCCACACCAGTAGGTGCAGGGAAAGTCTTGGCCCTCCTTTGCGCTGTGGATGGGCTGAAAAAACCTGAGATGGCAGCACGTATACTAACAGGAGTACCAGGAGAGCAGTGGGGCACAGTGTGGAACACAAGCTACCACAAGCACACCCACTCCTGGAAAGGAGTATAGGTGTATATGTACTGCACAGTACCTGTGTGGTTATATTGCTTCTGCATCTCAGCTGAAGGGTCAACGTAGGCTGCAATGTTATATTTATTGGCTCAGATCTTTACTAGCTTGTGGGTCTCCCTGCCGCTCTCCATTACTTTGTGTAAATGTGCTTAATCTTTCAGCCATGTGTTGCATTACGCAACCTTCCTCGGGGCGGGGGGCTCTGCTGGTGCTGCTCCCTCTGCTTGAAAGGATCCATATTAACTTCAAATTAAAGACTTTACCTGAGAGATTCATTAAAAACAAAGGCTGTGAAGGGCAGAGTCTGATGACACAGGATCTAAAAGATACTTTTAGTATTATAAAGGATCTTAGTGTTACATAAGAACAGAGAATTAGTAGGAGGAGTTCTGTATTCTAGGTTATGTTGGTGACTAGATTATTGAAATACTTCCTTTTGACCCTGAAATATATGAAGCAAAAAAAAAAAAAAAAAAAAAGTTTATCGACAAAAATAATTTCAAAATGTCATCAAGATTTTAGGCTGAAATCTGTTTGGCAAATTTCTGGCCCCATGTGATTTGGAGATTTTTATTTATTAAAGCATACAGTGTTGACTAAATTACAGGAGGAAATATATGAAAATTAATAGTTCAGCAAGTTTTATATTTGTTTGAATCAAAAATCTCTGCAAAGAATATGATAGTTTTTCAGAGAGGCAACATGCCACGGTAGCATGACCCTTGCTCAGTTACAGTGATTCATGGTAACTAAACCCTATTCTTTTCAATGGCAAATGTTGGCTTAATTTTCTCAGCATTCCTGAAAACCAGCCCTCAGTGGGACGCATTCTTAATATTATGCATTTCTGTATTTCTTGTTGGATACTTTCATGGCTTTCTAAATTTCACCTGCATTGCTATGGAAACCACTAAAATCTGATTGTCATTGCTGAAGGAAATACGCAACATCACCTTAGCTTGAAGAGATTAAATAATTTTGCTTTTGCACGCTGTTTGCTCCAAAACCTGGTTAACACTGTCAACTTAGAACCACCCCTACTGGGGCATTTTTGTGGAAAGTCAGATGTGATTTATGACTTAAACTCCGTTACTATGCTGATTATTCACAGCAGTAAAAATTTATACCCAGCATGATGTGAAATATTTAGTTTTAGAACTCTGCCCATAAGGAAACAGAAAGATATGATCTACTGTAAAACCAAAGACTCTTTCAGTCTGTAGTGATTTTACCAGGTTAGGATCCTGTGTAGTCCTCTGAGATTCTTGCTGTTGCCAACAGGAAAAGCCTGTGAGCCGGCTGAATGGCCTCTTCATGCCCTATGTTCCCTGTCTACAACCAAGACAGAACGCAACCTTCTTCTTTGGTGACTGCTGAGGTCTGCAGATAAAAAACAATATATAAAAATGTTTTTAAAGAGAAGCTCATAAGCTCTGTGGGAGTTTTAGTCCTCCAAACTCAGTCTCTTGCAACTTCATTGAAAAAAGTGAAGGTTCATACTCCTCAAGGAGTTTGCCCTGGGCAGTGGAGGTGGGAGGGGATCTCCTCCATTTGCAAGCTTGTGGGTCATGCGTGTGTGCGCACGTACCTACTCACTCATGCTCTTCATTCCTAGGAGGAGACCACTTCACTGCACTTCTCTTCTCTGAAAAGCCTTGTAGTTTAACAGATGAGACAAACCACACACAAAAGGGGGATGAAGGTGGTGGGTAAAAAGCTTAAGCTTGTCCCCTATAAAAAGACAACTTTGAAAAGTGCTCTCTGAGGAAGCTGCTGGAAATCTAACATCTGCTCTGGTTCTTTGTTCCATTGAGTAGGCAGCAGCAGCAGTTGTGCTCTCTTTGTAGCTCAACACTGTATATGGTTTCACAGAGCTTCCCTCATACTTAAAGTCTACATCTGATAGATCAGTCAGCTATGTTATTTGTCTACATGGCTGCCTGCATGCAATTCCACGGGCAGTGATTTTTGTCATTTTTCTTATTGCCATTATCGATTGTCTGCTGCTATCGTGTTATCTTGTGACATATCTTGGATTCTCCAAAACCAGCATGGAACAAATTGTTCAGAATGAGCCACATTTAAGCTGTTAGCGCTCCTGGATTACTGTTTTTCCACCTTGTTGACCTACCACAAAAAACACCCAGAACTTGCAACTCACTTACAAATGATCCTCACGTAAATGGAGAAGTATCCAAATCTGAAAGGTCACTCATCCTTGAAATCAGCACAATTGATTTTATATAGCTTGCTGTAAAAAACCACTTTTGTGTTCCTGAGACATGACCTGATACACTTGCTGTCCAAAGCCTGCTACCTTAAATAATAGTGCTCAGTGAATAGATATGTAAAACAGCATTTCATACACTGATTCATTGATTACAAGTAATGCAATATATTGTCACAAACACAGTAAACCTCCTGACCTATATCACTGAAAGTTGTCCTATATAGAACTAAGAAATGTCTAGGCATTTATTTGCTTGGTATCACACATTACATAAAACTTTGTTCTCCTGTGTTAAGTAGAGTACTGGTGGAGACCAGAATAAAAAAGACTGTCTGTTGGCAAAAAAAAAGAAGAGAAAAAAAAAACCCAAAACCTAAATTTATCATTTCAGATGCTGATTTATATGTTTTATGCACAATGATTTTTGTAACAATTACATAAATCAGAATTTCGACTGACTAGAAATATGAGTTGTGGCATAGTTCCATTGCTGATAAGAACATCTATTGCATTTTGATTTGCTGTTTTTAACAGCAGTGTTATTGTAGACGAGGCAATCAAGCCATATAAGGATGGTCTAAGGGTTAATTAGAAAAAACCCAACAAGAGATAGGCTTGTACACCTGAAAGCTTCCCTATTTTTATCAATTCTAGTTGTCAGTCAAAAAAGATACCTTTCTACTAAACTTATTTCCTATTTGTGTTTATGAATTAAAATATCTCTTTTTTTGCAAATACTTTCTGAATTTTGTATTTACTAAATGTTTACTTTTTTATAATTCCTTCCAGTTTAACATAGTAGAGAGAGAAAAATGAGATTAAAAAACAAAAGAGATGAAATTAAGAAAATGTGCTTTAAAAGCTCAAGAATATTCTGAAAATAAATGTTTGTGGTCTTCCCCTACTAGTCAGAGATAGTGAAAGTTAGTTACTCTGTATGGGAATGATTTAAATAACTAAAGCTGAAATAGCGTTATAGAACATTAAGACAAAATATTTGCTGGTTTAAGACTGTGCTGCCTCATTTTCCTAAGAGCTGTTTTACCTATTTTCACAATAAAAAATAGCCTAACATATAAAAACACTTAACTATGGAGGAAGGCTAACAGAGGGTAAAGTGTCTAGTTGCTGCTGGCAAACACTCAGCTGCTCAGTAAAAGTGGTTCGAGCATGGGCTGCTGACTACGTTATATTTTCTAGTGGTAGTACCCATTTGTCATCTTGTTATGATTACACAGCCTTTGTCCTCACAGGACCAGCGTACATTTTCTTGGAGTTTGACATTTGGATTGTGTCAGAAGTGTAACTGTCTCGTCTACACTTTTTCCCATCAGTGAAAGCATAGATTTACAGTTAATGTAGCCATTCAATTAAACAGACATTTATTAAATCCCTCCCCCTCCTTGTGGATTAAAAAACAAGGCCAAAATTCTGAACAGTGGGGTATTTTTCTATGTGATTGGCTACACATTGGTAAGTGTTGAATTCTTGGGAAGTTCAACCAAAATCACGTGGAAATTTGGAGGCTTAGCCTGTGAAAGAATAGTCAGAATCATGGCATACAGGTAAGGATGTAAAAATAAATAAATATATGGGTTTCTTCAAAAGTAAAATGAGTACAAGTGCAGCACATCCCCTTTCAGTAATTTCCACAGACATCCCCAGGTAATGTCCTTTCAATGCCCGTTCAAGTTTCAGTTCCCCATTCAAGTTGCAGTCCTACCACGTTGTATATCCCCTGCTCGTCCACCATGTTCCACCGTATTCCT